TGTTAGATGTGGTTCTCAATGTATGTAGAACAGATATTTAAGGTTATTATAAACACGGGAGGGCAAAGGGAAGTAAGGTTTCTCTATACTCAAATTGATAAAATGTCGACACCAGTGAACTGTGACAAGTACATACATGTGTATAGTGTAACACCTACAGCAACCACTTCAAAGGGTATGCAATATAACACACTCAAAAACAATATAGGTAAGTCAAACTGGAATTCTAAAAGATGTTCAAGTAGCCCACAGGAGGGCAAGGAAAAGAAGACAAAACGAAAAACAGGGAATAAACAAAGCACAAATAAAGTGGCAGACAAAAAATCACAAAGAAATTTCCAAGTCTCATCAAATGTATAATATGAACTTGGTTTCCTAGGTAGCATTCCCTCTTCTGTGTTGTCACAGAATCCCATAGAATCTCCTCTCATTGCTATTGTAGCACTGCATTAATTTTGTATTTACTACCCGCCTTTTACCAGCCTTTTTTAAAGATGGGAATTGTATATCCCTGTTTATCCCTGTATATCCCTTTGTATAGCCCCAAAGACTAATATAGTACTCTTTCAATAAGTGGGGGTAAAAGATAAAGATTGCAACAAATTTAAAGATATGAAATGTGGAAAAAAATCTATGAGTCCATAAAAGATAACCCCCCCAAATCAATTCTAATTTGTCACCATTGGATATTATTGCACCAAATTCTTAGTCTAAAAATTGATAATTAAAGAGAAGGGTTTCAGAATTTATCCTGTCTTTTTAGTATTTCAGAATATCCAAATAACCCTAGTCAATGAAGTAAATCTCTTCTTTACAGAAGAATTCCAGCTAATGTAGAAGGAATGACAGAATCAGAAAATCACCATTTTGTAACTCCCAATTAAATACTTGATTGAGGCAAGGATCACCAGTGATGATAAAGCCATTAGGTGAAAGGATGATGTGATGTGAAACTGGGTATTTGCGTGGTGCTAAAGAATCACCACATGTAAACAACCCAATGTCCCTCAGCTGGTGAGTGGATAAACATGCTGGTACATCTACACAGTGGAATACTACTCAGCAATAAAAAGGAATGAACTAGGGGCTTCCCTGGTGGCGCAGTGGTTGAGAGTCCGCCTGCCGATGCAGGGGACACGGGTTCGTGCCCCGGTCTGGGAGGATCCCACATGCCGTGGAGCGGCTAGGCCCGTGAGCCATGGCCATTGAGCCTGCGCGTCCGGAGCCTGTGCTCTGCAGCAGGAGAGGCCACAACAGCGAGAGGCCTGTGTACCACAAAAAAAAAAAAAAAAAAAAAAAGGAATGAACTGATTGATAAGCATAATAACGTGGATGGTTCTCAAATGCATTATGCTATGAGGAAGAAAGCAGATGCACAAGGCTACGGGCTGAAGATTCCATGTACAGGCATACCTCGGAGTTAACTGCAGGTTTGGTTCCAGAACACTGCAGTAAAGCAAGTATGGCAATAAGGTGAGTCACATGAACTTTTTGGTTTCCCAGTGCATAGAAAAGTTTTGTTTACACTATACTGTAGTCTATTAAGTGTGCAATAGCACTGTGTCTAAAAAAACAACGTACAAACCCTAATTAAAAAATACTTTATTGCTGGGGGTGTGCGCAAAGGATGGATTGGGAGTTTGGGATTGGCAGATGCAAACCATTATATGTAGAATGGATAAACAACAAGGTTCTACTGTATAGCACAGGGAATTATATTCAATATCCTGTAATAAACCATAATGGAAAAGAATATGAAAAAGAATATATATATAAATGTATAACTGAATCACTTTGCTGTACAGCAGAAACTAATACAACATTGTAAATCAACTATACTTCAATAAAATAAATTTTAAAAATACTTTATTGCTTAAAAAATGCTAACCATCATCTGACAATGGAGGATTGCCACAAACCTTCAATTTGTAAAAAAAAAAGAAAGCAATATCTGTTAAGTGCAACAAAGTGGAGCGCAATAAATGAGATATGCCAGTGTATGATATTGGCAAAAAACTATAGGGGCGGAAAACAGATCAGTGGTTGCCAGAGAGTACGGTGTAAGTGTTGACTAAAAAGGTGTACGGGCAAATTTTAGGGGGGTGACAGAAATGTATTATCTCTTGATTGTGGTGATGATTATGAGTGTATGAATTTGTCAAAACTCACACTCTAGGGCTTCCCTGGTGGCGCAGTGGTTGAGAGTCCGCCTGCCGATGCAGCGGACACGGGTTCGTGCCCCGGTCCGGGAAGATCCCACATGCCGCGGAGTGGCTGGGCCCGTGAGCCATGGCCGCTGAGCCTGCGCGTCCGGAGCCTGTGCTCTGCAATGGGAGAGGCCACAACAGTGAGAGGCCCGCGTAACGCAAAAAAAAAAACAAAAAAAACCTCACACTCTAGGGACTTCCTTGGCGGTCCAGTGGTTAAGACTCCACGCTTCCAATGCAGGGGGCCACGGGTCCAATCCCGACTGGGGAACTAAGATCCTCCATGCTGTAAGGCGCCACCAAAAAAAAAAAAAAAAAAACCTACCAAAAACAAACAAAACAAGAAACTCACATTCTAAAAGAGATGAATTTTACTGTATGTACATTTTAACTTAATTTAAACAAACAAAAATAGACCAACAAAACAAAGAAATCACCCCATAGATTATTTAGTGGTCACAAGGTGTGAAACATACCTTTACAACACAGAAGTCTGGCTGTCAGAGCCTCACCAGTGATCAATTTCAGCCTCACTAAAGTGAGACAACCAGATGTTGGGCGCCTCCTAATGTGATGCAGTTTGGAGTACAGAGCAGCACCCAGGAGACATATGTATTTCCAAGCTTTAGATCTAATTTCTGGTGTGCAGGGAAAACTAGAGATAGAGGAACAAGTTAACGACACCCAAGGAAACATCAGACAAATCCAGAATGTGATGGGGCATCTCAAAGGACAATTGGCTTGGAATCTTCAGAAAGGTCAGTATCATGAAGACCAAAAAAAAAGGAGGTGAGGTGGGTAAGAGGTGGGGAGGGTGGTTCCATCTAGATTAAAGTGACTGAAGAGACACAGAATCCTTATTTGGTCTCTGATTTGAACAAACTAGCTATCAAAGACATTTTGCGGACAGTTAGGGAAATCTGAATGTGGGCTATGTATTAGGTAATATTAACAAGTTATTGTTGGGACTTCCCTGGTGGTGCAGTGGCTAAGACTCCGAGCTGGAGTCGATCCCTGGTCAGGGAACTAAATCCAGCATGCTACAACTAGGACCCGGTGCAGCCAAAATAAATAATAAATAAACATATTTTTAAAAAAGTTGTTAACTTTACTAGCTCGATAAAGGCATTGTCTCATTTTAAATACTGTCAAAATAAATGAATAAATAGATTAAGGGGGGAGGAAGGAGAAGTAGTATGAATCCTGGCTGTGGGTCAGGGACCAGTGCCTGCTACACTTAGGATGAAAGGCCAGCTCCTTACAGAGGCCTCCAGAGGTCGGACCAGACCAGACCAGCTCTTGCTTGTGTGTCTGTCCTCACCTCTCAGCACTACCCCCAGCCACCTTCTTTGCGTGGGCCAATCGCTTGCTTTCCAGCCTCCAAGCCTTTGCATTGGCAGTTCTTTCCGCCCGCCGTAGCGACTCGTCCCCTCTCTTTTCCGGATGGCTCCTTCTGAGGTTTCAGCCTAAATGTCATCGCAGAGAGACCCTCCTCCACAACGGAAGTAGGTTCCGCTCTCGGCTCCTGCCTTTGGCTGCTTGGCTACGCTTCATCGCCCGTGGTGATGATGTTTACTTGTTATGTCTGACTAGCGTTGAAACTTAGAGCCACCACCGGGTCCCCAGAGCCTGCATTTATCGCGCACCTGTTCGCGCTCTGCGCACAGCTGCAGGCGCCTCTGCTTTGGGACGGTGCTTCTGTTTCCTGCTGGGAGTGCCGACCCGGTCCCGGACTAGCCGGGCGGCTTTTCACAGCCACAGAGACAGCTGCAACCCGGGACCTCAGACCTGACGCCGGATCCCGCCGGCGCCGGGCAGCGGGAAGCCAGGTTCTTCCGCCACCCCCCAGCCAGGTGACTGCCCCAAAGCCTTTCCCACACCCCAAGCCCCCCAGCTCGGGGACCCCACCCGGAACAGTCTTTGCCACCTACCTGAGGAACTACACTTCCCATCAGGCGCTGGAGCAGCGACCGCAGCTCCCAGTGTGCTCCCAGGCGCCGCTCCGCCCCCGGCCTTAACCCCATAGTACCTGCAGGCTGGCGGGAGCGGCGACGGGCGCAGGTAGCCTGCGAGTGGGCCCGGGGTCGGGGTGGGTGTGCAGCAGAGCTGAGGAGAGGACGGGTTTGGGGGCCTTGGGGAGGAAGGGAGCCAGGGTTAACCAAGGACGGACAGCGGGGGTGGAGGATGGGGGTGGGTGGGAGGCGAGCCATAGAGCGTCCGCCCCTCGCGAAATTAAGAACCTGGAAGTTCACCTTTTCCAGCAAAACGAACCCTTTCGGGTGCCAGGTCCGGGGCGGCGCTGAGGTTGCGGCGGGGGCGGGGGGGAGGGCAAAGGAGTCTGCCCTGGCTAAATGTCCCCCTCTGCCCAACACATACCTTCGCCGTCGATCTGGCGAAGAGGAAAGTGGCAAACTCTCCTCTCTACGCCAGCGAGGGTGAGGAAGGGGACTACGCCTCTCTCGGCCCGAGGCGCTGACCGCTGACCGGGGCGTTTCCTATTACCCCCTGGACCATGGGCTAGAGCTTGGGGAGCCCTTCTGACTCCCCTATCTCCTCCCTCGAAGTCGTGTGTACCTGACTCCAGCGCTGATGTACCTGGAGACACCTGCATTCCCTCTTCCTTGTCCTCGCTATGGTCCTGACCAGTGGGTGGTGGCAGGCCTCCACAATGCCGGCTGAGCCTCTGAGCAACCGTTTTCCCAGCTCTTCTCTTCCAGGCTCATTCCCTCAGTCATTGTGACAACCGATGCGGGCCTGATTCCAAGCGGTGGGGTGATGAGCAAGCAGAGCTTCCACTCTGGGGTGGGAGTGGAGGTAGAGGCAGAGAAGAGATGATAAAATAATTTCAGGTTCTGGGAGTGCCACGAAGGAAGGAAAACGTGTAGGGGGTCGGGGGGGTACGATGCTGCCTTGGATAGGGTGGTCAGGGAGGTCCTCTCTTGGATGTTCCCAGACTGAGGGGGACAGCAGGGGCGAAGGCATGGGGGAAAGAAGAGCAGTGTGCTTGAAGCAAGTGAGTCAGAGGGAGCGTGGGAGGAAATGAGATGACAGTGTGGGCCCGGGAAGGATCTGGACGTTATTCTAAAATCAGGAAGGGTTCATGGAAGCCCATGGAACGCGTTAATGAGCAAGGGAGTCACGTTTCCCTAGTCTGAGCTTTCTCAGCATTTTCGGCGGGGGGCGGGGGAAGGGTTGTGGAGCAGGGGCTGTGGCCAAGCCAGCTGACTTCCTGCCAATTATCAGTTGACCATGGCCCTCTCTGACCCTCTGAAAACTGGGAGTGATAATTGCTACCTCACTGGATGCACACCTGGCCCAACCTGCTGTCATCTTCCCCCACAGGGCCTGGCCACCCCTCCCACAGAATGCCTGAGGGCCCTGAGCTACATCTGGCCAGTCACTTTGTGAACGAGGCATGCAGCGAGCTGGTGTTTGGCGGGTGTGTGGAGAAGTCACCTGTCAGCCGCAACCCTGAGGTGCCCTTTGAGAGCAGCGCCTACCACATCTCAGCTTTAGCCCGAGGCAAGGAGCTGCGCCTGACACTGAGCCCCCTGCCTGGGGCTCAGCCCCCACGAGGGCCACTGGCCCTTGTCTTCCGCTTTGGCATGACCGGCTCCTTCCAGCTGGTGCCCAGCGATGCGCTGCCACCCCATGCCCATCTGCGCTTTTACACGGCTCCCCCTGGCCCCCGACTTGCCCTCTGCTTCGTGGACATCCGCCGCTTTGGCCGCTGGGACCTCGGGGGCAAGTGGCAGCCAGGCCGCGGGCCGTGTGTCTTGCTGGAGTACGAGCAGTTCAGGTAGGGCCCGCACCAGGTGTGATGAATACAGCCCTGGGCTCCTGGCCGTTAGTGCCTCGGTGGCCAAGAAGTGAGTTCCAGCCCCTTCACCTGTAGACCAAGACAGTGTGCTTTCCTGGGGACAGTTCCCTGAGCTAATGGATGTGGAAACCCAAAACTGACGTGGTAGAGGGTGGGAGCAAGAGGTGGATGAGGACATGGCCAGTTAGTGTGAGAGCTGGGTCTCAGGTCAGCATCCCACTCTGTCTTTTGGCACCCTCAAGAGGCTAAGAAGAAAGGTGGAGAGGCTCTAACAACCTAAGAAAGGAGGCTGAGCAGGAAGGAATTGCTTCAAGGGAGTGGGGAGAGGACTGCCTAATGTGGTTTCTGAATCAGACTGTGGTCTCCCATATTCTGCCTACCCACTGGTCTGTGTCCCGTGGTCTCTGTGCCCGTCTTCTGCCTGAGGGAGGGGTAACGGCCCCACCTGGGATGTGATCCAGGTCACATAAGATGGCACAGTGTCAGCCACTTCCCCTCCTCTAAAGATAAAACATGTATGAGTCTCTGCTTCGTGCCAGGCCAACTCTAAGTGTTGGGGGTTCAGCAGTGATCAAGAGGGATGTGGTCCCTGCTCCCACAGAGCTAGTTCAGGTAGGGCAGGGGGAAAAAGGGGACTAGATTAATTCAAATAGACACATGCCTGAAGAAAAATCCAAGAGGTAGAGAATGACTTTGAGCTGTGGAGGTGGGGGGAGGAGGAGGGCGCATTAGGAAAGGCCACCCCAGGTGACGTGTGAGCTGAGGCCTGCCTGATGAGAAGGAGCCAGCTGTGCACAGCTCTAAGGTAAAAGCAATCTGACAAGAATCACAAACACAAAGGCTCGGAGTGGACTTGGCAAATCCTTTCTTGGGAAAGGCACGCCTTCGGCTGCCCCTTGGGGTGGGTCAGGGCGTCTCTGGTGCCACAGAAGGCAGCAGACTGCTGGCCTTCCCAGGTATGCCCCCAAGTGCACCCCTAGGGAAGTGTCTGTGTTGTCTTGGATTTCTCCCACTTCACCTCTTCTGGGGAGTCATGCCACAAGTTAACCCTTTGCCAGCTGAAGCTTCTCTCACAAGATGAGCGTTTCGGCTTGTTTTGTCCTCCAGCTGCGGAGCCTGTGGGGATCCGCCCCCCTCAGGGATCTGAACACCCAGGCCAACCTTCCACTCTTACCTTTACCCCAAAACTCTGTCTTCTGGCCCCCTATTTCACTTGCTTCTCACGCCCATCACTGAGTCAGTCTTGCCATGATCCTTTTCCACAAAGAAACAAGATACATGTACCCTTCATGGTGGTGAAGAGAGACCCATGACCCTCGGAGGTGGGGGGGGAGCTGCTGGGGCACTCACCAGCCAGGGCTTGCCCCCTCACTCCTGCTAAATAAACAGTGCCAGTACCAGCTTCCTGGAAGATCTTCAGCTTCTTGAAAAGACCTGACCCCGCCAATATCAAACCTTCATATCTAACCAACCAGAAGTCCTAGACAGGGAGTTCCAGACTGCGGTCACACCTGAGGTCCTGTGGTCACCTTGTTCCCAAAAATGTCTTGAGTCTGAGGCACTTTGGTGATATACACACCACATACCTAGACTCGTGTGTTTTCTTGAACAGGCTGCTTTTGACTGGTATTTTTTTACCTTTTGTAACGCATTAAAATCCCACACTGTTGTTCCCATTTAACAGAAAACTGAGGTTCCCACTGCCAAAACACCACTGAGGGTGGGAAGAGGGGAACTGGGACTCCCCATTTCCTTCCCTTGCACCCAGGAATGGGTTCCCCCAGCTCCTCTCCCCTAACCCATTGGGAGGCAGGGAGGGGTGGGGTGGGCAGAATGGGTCTCATGTGCCCAGACTGTGTCCCTCCAGGGAGAATGTGTTACGAAACCTAGCAGACAAGGCCTTTGACCGGCCCATTTGTGAGGCCCTCTTGGACCAGAGGTTCTTCAATGGCATTGGCAACTATCTGCGGGCAGAGATCCTATACCGGTCAGCAGGCAGGCCCTGGGCACGAGGGCTGGGGTGGCTGGGTGTGCCCACATTCCCCACTGCTTAGCATGGCGCCCTCTCTCCACCTCACTGCAGGCTGAGGATACCCCCCTTCGAGAAGGCCCGCACGGTTCTGGAGGCACTGCAGCAGCGCAGGCCGGTGAGGCTGCAGGGAGGGATGCACGCACCTATTAGTGCAGGCCGACAAGGGTCTGGGCTGGGTCAGGCGTCTCCAGCTTAACTCAAGCAGGTCCATTCTCGGTTTCCAGCCTGTTTCCCCATCTCTACAATGTGTGTGCGTGGGGGAGGTGATGGGGGGGCAGATGAACTGTCTGAGTCCTGCCAAGCTCAGAAGGGGTCTGTTCCTCAAGGGGTCAGCTGCCTTCTGAGTGGCCCTGCCTCATACTGACATCCAGGTCCTACCCCTGCCTCTTCTCCAGAGCCCGGAGCTGACCCTGAGCCAGAAGATCAGGGCCAAGCTGCAGAACCCAGACCTACTGGAGCTGTGCCACTCAGTGCCCAAGGAAGTGGTCCAGCTGGGTGAGGCCTGGGAGGCAAAGATGGCCAGCTAGGTCTGCTTTGGCATATCGTGTAACCTGGGACAGTTCCTGCCCCTCTCTGGGCCTGGTTCCCTGCCTGGGGAATGGAAGTTTGTCAACCTAGTCGTTCTTAAATGGACTAGGCCTCCTTCACTGATCTTCACGTGTCGGGTGTCTATGTCCCCTGAGCTGCCCCATGAGGCAGGCAGGGCAAGGATTCTTAACTCAACTCCAGGATGGGAAAGCCATGGCCCAGAGTGGGGAAGACACCAGCCTGAGGTCACACAGCTGGAGGAGGGAGAGCCTTGGCCCCCTGACTCAGTCCATCAGCTTGTAAAGCTGAGGTCTGAGCCAGGTCTAACTGGGCTCCCCCCTCTCCCAGCCTAAGTCAGCCCTCTGACCTCCGCCTGGCTCCTCTGTCCCACAGGGGGCAAAGGCTATGGGCCGGAGAGCACGGAGGAGGACTTTGCTGCCTTCCAAGCCTGGCTGCGGTGTTATGGCACGCCAGGCATGAGCTCCCTGCGGGACCGGCATGGCCGCACCATCTGGTTCCAGGTTTGGGCTCTAATGCTCACACAGGCAAATGGAGCCCTAAGGAAGTTGGTGGGATGGAAAGACCTGGGGTTGCACTGTTCCTGAGGATCTAAGCTTTCCCTGTGCTATGCCCCTCCCCTCCTCGGAGTCCCAGGGTCCCAGCTAGTGGAGCAGCCCAGGGCAGGGTTACCTTGCTGTTGGCTCTGACCTGGGGGGGAGGGGACGGTCAGAGAGGCTTCCTAGGGGAGGGGCTTCACTGATCTGGAAGGACAGGTGTGAGTTCTGCCTCTCCAAGGAAAACTACCCCTGCCAGATTGACTCCTGAATTCTCCTGATTCCATTTTAGGGGGATCCTGGACCCTTGGCGCCCAAAGGTAAGCTATGCCTAATGTAATGAGAGGGAAAAGGACTAGTTGCCTGCAAGGGCTACAGCACCCTTCTCCATCCCGGTCCCCACCCCAACCCTCAGAGGCACTCCAGAGTGGGAGCATGGGAGTCTAGAGAAAGGGGGCTGCGGCCACAAGGCCCTCCAACCCCATCAGCAACAGTATCCTGCAGGGGGCAAGTCCCGCAAGAAGAAATCCAAGGGAGCACAGAGGGGTCCTGAGGACCAAGTGGAGGTATGTCTCCCTGCTCCTACCCCCTCCCTGTACCCTCTCCTGTCCTGGCTGTACCTCCCAGGCCAGGCTCTTGGGCAGCTCCTTCCCTTGACAATGGAGGGCAATGGTGGGTTCTAACCAACCTGTGACTTGCTGAGCTCTTCAGGGACCCGTGTCTTCTCCACCCAGAATCCTCCATCTCCAAACAAGGCCCCTTCAAGGACACGAAGGGCACGGAGAGGCCTTCCTGAGCAGACTGCGGCCCAGCAGCCCGAGGGGACCAGCCTCCAACGGGACCCAGAAGCCCCCTGCGTCCCTGAGAAAGGGAAGAGGAGGAGGCAACCAGCGACCTCAGGTGGGCCTTCCTCAGCATCTTCCTCTAGGGAGGGAAGGGGCACCACCAAAACGGGCTCTCCAGGAGAGGAAGGGATGGCAGTGCGGGTGGGAGGAACACGTCGACAAAGGTGGCAGGGAGGCTGTTGGGACAGAGTCCTCAGCCTGGGGTCCGAGCTGCCACCTCACCTGTCCTCCCCACAGGCCGCCGCAGACCCCAAAAGATCAAGGCTGACACCCCATCCTCGGAGCCTGAGGAGACCTCAGCCTCTTAGCAGGAGGGTCTCCTTGCTTGCATCCACCCCTTCCTGCTGCCCTGGATCTGGGCCTGTGCGGCTTCCTGGAAGTTGCAGGGGACTGGCTGCCCCTGGCCCTGTGGCCATTCCCTGTACAACTATGATGTTTTTAATTGTACCCATTGTCCCCATTTTTTAAGCCCACGTGAAAAAGGCTGTAATTTTTAGTAAACTGATAAACCTTGAACTTCTTGGGTTGGCTGCAGAAGGTCTGGGAAAGCCGAATGTGGAGGGCCTGGTGCCCAGCCCTGGGGACAGGAGGGCCACTGCCTCAGCATGGCAGACTGAGCCCCATCCCAGGCCTCAAGGCCCTGGCTCTCAGGACAGTCTGCCTCTGCAGGGACAGCCCTTCAGAGGTGGTGCAGAGACCCACCCCGTCCCCCGGGGCAGCCCAGGCTCTACAGCTCCTCCAGTCCAGGATTCCTCATGTGGCTGCTCCCCTAGCCTAGTCCAGACTAGTCAATGCTCCCCTCCTAGTGGGGACCAGCCAGAACCCACCCACCAGGCCTCCTCCCCAGCCCCAGGCCCTCTGCCTGTGGACACGGGGGAAGAGCTGCTGCTGCTTCTTTTCCCCTCACCCCACCGGCCGCACCACATGGCATGCGGGATCTTAGTTTCCCGACCCGTCCCCTGCATTGGAAGCTCAGAGTCTTAACCACTGGACCGCCAGGGAAGTCCCAGAAGAGCGTCTTATATCGTGGTCTTACAGTCAGCTTATGGTCACCGATATCCCCCGTCTCTGTCATGGGGCCTGCAATCCAGACCCTGCGCGCACAGATAACCTTAGATCTTGCCCCTGTCCCCAGATGCCTGGGGTAAAAACTTCCCCCCTCAATGCCTGAGTTTGGGACCTGAGGGGACTGAGCAGGGGCTACCAGCAGGGTTCCTAAGCCAAGCGTTTATTGTTCAAGAGGTAACTATCCTTGCTTCAGGCTTGAGAGGCAGAAATGAGGAGCCCCCAAAAGCCTTCCACAAACAAAACCCCACGCTCAGGGACTCATCTCAGCTCGGTGCGGGCTGCAGCACGAGCAACAGGGACTGCACTTGGAAGGGAGAAAAGGTGAGCTTCAGGCGGCTGTCCCGAAGGGGCAGGGGGCCAGCAGGGTCACGGCGCTCCAGGAGGTCACAGCTGGAGAACAGGAGGGACCATGAGGGCCCCGCGAGGGCAGGACTCCCACTCCCACCCCGCGCCCCCACTCACAGGACGGCCTCCTGAACCGGCAGCGACATGTGCAGCCAGCAGTCCACGTGGCTGCCGTGGGCCTCGTACAGCCTCAGGACCAGCTTGCGGCCCTGGAGGCTGGTCTCCGCCTACGGAGGGAGGTGGTGGTGGGCGGGGCCGAGGGCGGGCCCAGCTCGGGACCCCGGCCCGCTCCCCGCACCCCACCGGCCCTTGCCTGCTTGACGGTCTCCAACACGACTGCGGGCGAGGACACTGAAAAGGCGCTCCAGGCGGCGGCGGGTGCCGGGCCTGGGGCGGGCAGCGCCAACAGGGGGAAGTTGAGGCTGTAGGCAGCGGGAATAACGCCAGCGTCTTGGAAGGACCCTGGGCGCAGACCGGAAAGGGACGCGTGGTGGAAAATGAGGGTAGGGGCGTGGGACTGCTGGAGTGCTCCCCACTTACCGTTGGTGCAACCGAGGCTGAGAGGGGCAGAGAGGTATCGGGGCCGCAGCACTCACCCTCATGCGGCATCAGCGCGTAGGTGAACTCGTGGCGCCCCATGTCAACCGTGGCGTCAGGGGACTTGGGCGCCCGCAAGCTGGGGTGGGGAGGGTGGTAAGGGCCAGGCTGGAGCCGCCGAAGTTCTGTCCTGGGAAGACCGCGCTCCCATACCCGTCCCTGGGAGGCACCCCACTCACAGGGAGAGGCTGAGGACGCTGCCTCGCACTGACGCGCCATACTTGCAGTCATTGAGCAGAGCCAGCCCAAAGCCGTGCTCTGACAGATCGATCCAGCGGTGGGCCCACACCTGGAGGGTAGATCGGAGACCCACTTGGTGGCCCCGCCGCCTCCTCGTGCTCCAGAGCTCCTGTCAGTAGACTGAGGGAAGCTCTGGGACCACACGATTGAATGCCAGCTCTCACTACAGGAGGCCCTGCGCACACCACACAACCTGTCTAAGCCCCGGCTCCTCATCTGGGAAAGGGGGATAAGGGTACTTACCCCACCAAATGGGCATGAATATCAGACTAAACAGAAAGCATTTAGCACCATGCCTGGCATACGTGTCAGGAACCAGCAAATGCTGACCATCATCTTCCTCCTCCTCACCCCATACCACACAACGAGTCTCTCCCCAGCCAGGGAGGATCCAAACCCTCCACCACACCCCGCCCCACACCACCCCACGTCAGACCTCAAATCGGGCCCAGTCCCAAGAGGTGTTGTAGTGGGTGGGCCGCTGCAGATGTCCGAACTGGACCTCAAAGGTGGCCTGGGGGCTCCGCACACGGGCAGGGAACTCCACCTTCAGGAACTTGTGGGCCTCGTGCCAGTGCACCTGTCGGGGGTGGAGGTAGGGGTGCAAGGGGAGGGACCCCTCCTCGCCGGCCACACCCAGGGAAGATACCCACCGCCCTGCCCCCTGCTACCTCGGTGTGGAAGCGGACATAGGGGCAGCCGACGTCCAGCACCACCTCTTGGCTGAGCTGACTATTGGGGCTGATCTGCAGCAGAAACCAGGCGCTGCCCCGCACGCCACCCTGAGTGCCCACGGCCAAGGTCCCTGCCTGGCCCAGCACTGGCTTCCTGGGGAACAGGGGAGGGAGGCGCTGAGCCAGGACGGCCTGGCGGAGGGGGCCCAATACTCTCCTATCCCACGCCGCCCCCAAGTCCTGCCCACCCCGCACCGTGTTTCTAGGTGGTAGTCCATGACGTCCCACGCGTCCCAGTACAGGGGGACATCATCGAACAGCACAAACTGGTTCCCCACGGCACCCTCAGCAATGGCCTCCCTGGAAGGACATGGAGACTGGCGCTTTATAACTGTATGACTGCAGTCTCTCCAGCTGAGTGAGGTGGGTGGGGTGGGAGGTAGGGTGAGTAGGCCCAGAGGACAGGAGACTCCTAACCCAGCCGGCCCCATTCCATGTGTGGGTCCCAGTCCTGAGCCACCTGTGGGCTACTGTGGTCAGCTGTGGCCAGGGGACAGAGGGAATGAGAGGTCTGGGGTCCCCTGCCAGGCACTGGGAGAGGGCAGTGAGGGGTTAGCACCTGCCAGAGGCCACCAGCACCAGAGACGTCAGGCGGCCAGTTGGGTCCAGCCTCACCCGGATGATGCCGTTGTCCAGAGTCACAGAACCGTCAGTCTTGGTGGGAGGGGGCCTTGAGGCTAAGTCTGCAGAGGCTTCCCGCCACCAACAGCCCGCCCAACCCCAGCCCCAGCCCTGCCTTGCCACCTGCTCCAGGTTGGGGAGCTCAGAACCCCCACGTTGTCAGGGACAGCCCAGGACAGCCAGCCCCCGCCCACGGCGATGTGCCAGCACTCACCTCCTGCACTACAAACACAGGCTGCTGGGGCAGCAGGGGCTGCAGCGAGGTGGGGGTGGGAGCGGGAGCATAGCCCATGCTGGGCACTGTCACCAGAGCTGGGGATGAGGCCTGGGCATCAGCACAGCCTCCTTCACCTTCCAGGAACCATACTCGGGGTGGGGTGGGGGGCTGGAGGGGGTGAGCATTACTAGTACTCTCTAGCCTGGGGCAACCCGGGGCAGAGATCTCCAGGGGAATGTCCACAACTCTCGATTTGGCCTTGATCCCTCCTGCTACAGTAGCCACCCTTCTCCCCAGCTCATACCTAGGCAGTGGGCCCCACCAGGCCTGGGCAGGGCCAGCACTTCAGTGCGCTTCCAGGGCAGTGTGTTGACAATGAGGAGGCCCTCAGGACCTGGTTCCCCAGCACAAAGGGCTGCGGCTGCAGCGCTGAGCAGCGTGTTGCCACGGGAACGGATGTCTGGGGAGAGACTGGCTGGTCATGGGTGGGCAGTGGGTCTGGGTGACCCCTGAATGTCCCACAGGAGACACTCTGCCCTGGGTGCTGGAGAGCAGCGGAAATGTTGTCAGCCTCACCTTCGTAGTGGCACATGGCTTCCTCTGCCACCAGCTGGATGCAGCTTCCAGTCACCACATCGTGGAACTGGTTCAGAAGCAGGAGCCTGCGGGGGGCCAAGGGCAGGGCTGCGGAAGGCTGGGAGGGAGGGGCAGCCGCAGAGGTGTCTGGGGTGAGGTTAGTGGGTGGCAGGGGGGCAGAAGACAGACTGACCTCCAGAGGTCCTGTAGCTGGGCGGCCGGGTAGAGGAACTGGGCACTGCGGGCCAGGGCCAGGCTGCTGAGCAGCTCCACGTCATGCAGGATCCGCTCACACTCCCGGTTCCCCTTCTTGATCTGAGCCCAGAGTAGGGAGAATCAGTCTAGAGTCTGTTCAAGCATCCCAGGACACCTTCCAAAGCCTTCCCTTGCTCAGAACCCCTGGTGGCTCCCCAGGGCCTCTTGTGAGTTATCTACCCCAGATGCCTCCCTCCTACCCCCTCAGCCCAAGCCCTTCCTCCCTCAGGGATGCTCAGTCCTGCCTCCTCCAGGCTCCTGACCACCCGGCTCTTGCACTTCTCTCCTCTCGGCTCCTCCGTGGAACACAAGCCTCTTCCCCCAGGTCTGGGCTGGGCTCTGTCCCCTGCTTCCTCCTCTGACCCTCTGGGCCTCTCAAGGGCACGCCCTCCCCATTTGGCTCAGCAACCAGCTCCTGACCTGGGCATGGGTGGTGTAGGTGCCATTATGTAGCTCCAGGAAGAGCTCTCCGACCCACGTGCACAGCTGCTCCGAGTGGCCCTCTAGCGCCGAGAAGAGTCGCTCCGGAGAAGAGAACTGCACCCTGAGGGAGACTGCAAGCCTGGGTCTCCCAGCTTGGCCGTGTGATTCACCCTTCTTCCATGCAAGGGTGACAAGAGACCCAGTCCCGACAGAAAGGAGCCACGCCCAGAAAGCTCCCTGTCCACACAAAGCCAGTTCTGGACACCCCAGGAGAGTTTTCTCTCTAGTAGGTTTAAGCCCCGTCCCACCTTTAGCTTTCCCCTCACCCTACCACCAGGGTAGAAGTTGGGAGGAGCCCATGGTCTGGGATTGGAGGGGGACAAGGTTTAGGGGAGGTGTCGGGCGCAATATTTGAGCAGAAGGGACTAAGGGCAAGGGTGGAGGGTAGGGCTGAGTGAGCCCAGGCCTGACCTGGGCAGCCCATCTGTATTGCACAGCCGCTTCAAGCGGTCCACCATGGTCTGGGTGGGGCCACCACCCCCATCCCCAAAGCCAAAGAGGAAGGCACTGTGGTTGGTACGCCCCTTGTCCCGGTTTTTGGCCACAGTCTTCAGCACCTGCACAGGTGGGCTCAGGGTCAGCTTAGAACAGGACACCCAGCCCTCTCCAGCCTGCCTCCCATCCCCGACCTTGGCCACTAGGTGCCCTCTCACCTCCTCCACACTGCCCTGCATCCCATATGAGTCACCAGGCGGGAAGTGGGCCAGCACCCGGGAGCCATCCAGCCCCTCCCAGAAAAAGGTATGGTGCTGCAGGCAGGGAAACAGGTAGAAGAGAGAGGGCAGAGTCAGGGCTGAGGCAGAGCCGGGCCTCCTAGACCTGCCCCTCCTGTTGTGTGACCCTGGGGGAGGCATGCCTTCTCTGGGTCGGGGTTGGGTGGCTTGTCCAGGGCCCCTCAATAAGCCTGGATGGAGATGTATGGGCTAGGTGGGACCCAGGCCCACTCTGAGTCTGGTTCCCTGGGGCCTGCTCACCGGGAAGTTGTTCACCAGGTTCCAGCTCAGTTTTTGGGTGAGGAAGTGCCTGATGCCACAGCTGCGCATGATCTGTGGGAGCTGCACTGAGTAGCCGAATGTGTCTGGCAGCCAGAACTGCAGGGAAAGGGCCTCTGGGCACGGGAACCACGGCTCGGCAGCACGGCCACAGCCTCTGCCCCTCATCACTCAAGGGCAAGCTCCAGCCCCATGCGCCTGCAGGCGCAGCCGGCTCCCAGCCTACCTCAGAGCACATCTTCCCAAACTCCTGCAGGAAGAAGCTCTGTCCCTGCAGGAACTGCCTCACCATGGCCTCTCCACTGGGAAGGTTCCCATCCTGGCAGTGAGGGAACAGGGAGGCAGCCGGGGTCAGCACCAGGTGGAGCTCAGGCCAACCACCCGGACAGGAGCAGCCAGGGCTGTGACACTGGGTTATAGTCAGTGCCCAGGGAGTGTCCATCTCCTCACAGGCCCACCTGTCTGTCTGCCAGAGGGGAGGTTTCTGGGGCCAGGGCTGTGGACTGCACTTACCATCTCCACCCAGGTGCCCCCGACGGGCACAAATTGCCCACGGCAGGCGAACTCCTGGAGCCGGGCATGCAGGCCAGGGTAGTGGCTCTTCACCCACGCGAGCTGCTGTGCCTGTGGGGCAGACGAGGCAGGAGCTGGGCCAGGGGGACAAGAACCCCATCCAGGGCTGAGCACCTGGGGCCCAGTGGGTGGCTGAGGGTGAGTAGCCCTGCCCCTCAGGCCCCAGAAGCCCTCGGAACCTCACACTAGCCCCCATTGGGCTCCAGGTACCACCGCACAGCCGTCCCTCTGACCTGGGAGCAGGCAAAGATGAACTCAGGATTCCGCTCCATGAGCTGAACGACTGTCACCCAGCTCCGGGCACATTTCCGCACGGTCTCCTTGAAGGGCCAGAGCCAGGCTAGACAGGGAGGAGGGTGAAGGATAAGAGAGCAGCAAGGTCCCCAGCTCCTCACAGATCTCCAGCCGCACCCCTGCCCCCCAGCATCCAACCACGCCCAGCCTGGGCCTCCAGAGGGTCATCCTAGCCTTCCGTCCATCCCAGGCCCTTTCCCTGCAAAGTCCTGTGGCATCTCTCCTGAGCTGTCACTTTACATCACTCTTGCAAGGTAGGAGTAGGGACTGGGGAAAGGAGGTTGGCTGGGCCTATCGGATCAATTTTACATCAGGAAATGGAGGCCCCAGTCCCTGGAATAGCCTTACTCTGAGGTTCAGACACCCCTGAGAGGATCCTGTAAGAGGCAGTGGGGGTTGGCCCTTCCCCTGCACGCACATTGAAGGACAGCCTGGAACAGAGGGCACAGCTTCCTGAGATGGACCTGCCTGGGCCAGCTGTCCCGCGTGAGGCACTACAGCCTCTTGCAACCTCTAGGCCTCAGTTCCTTCTTTACCAGCCCAGAACTCTACATCCCATGCTTTGGCACAGCAGAGAAAGCCCTTGTTCTGTGGTTCAGAAACTTTAGCTGCATCAGAATCAATACTTTGGGGAGTTTTTTAAAAATGTAATTTCCCATAAGCCTCACAGACACTGCAGACTTAACCAGGTTCAAAACTGACCTCCTGATCCTCCCCAGGAAACCTCCCCCTGGGCTTGAGTCCCCATCTCAACTACTTCCACATCACTCCTATCTGAGGACTTGGGCACTTGTCAAATTCTTACTCATCCTCACTCTGTTCAAAGGTCATCTCCTCTGAGAAACCTTTCTTGAATCCCCCAGACCCAGCTGGGTTAAATGCCTCTTCTGGGCTCCCCAGCCCCCGATCCTTCCCTCCATCCTGGCAGCAACTGTGTCTGCCTATTTTGTGATCACCAGTCTCTATAGTCCTAGCCTCCCAATATCTAGCATGGGGCCACACGGGGCATCAGATTTTGTTGAAAGAATAAACGAAGCCACATCTAGCAGAGCCTACAGCCCATTCCCCTTTCCCCAGGGAAAACTGGGGTCCAAGAGGGGCAAGAACTCGATGTGGATCACACAGTGCTTCCAGGGCACAGCCAGGTCTTCGAGGCCACTCCTGCCTCCCTGAACCAGCCCAGACAACTGCTGCCCTACCTGTATCAATGTGGCAGTGCCCCAGGGCATGGATGGTATGCTGGCTTTCACCCCCACGTTGGCCAAAGAACTTGGAGGCCAGGGCCTGGGCCACTGGGAAGGTCTCCGGCTGGGCGGGGTCACATATGTTCACCATCTGGTTGGCTGTGTACAGGGCCTGGTAGCTGCGCTGGTTGTCCTCCCCGAGGCCCTGCAGCAGGGTTCTGTCCCTTAATCCCCATCTCAAGCAAGCAGAGTCTCCAAAATTAGACCCCAGCTGATCTCCCACGGGTTCTCAGCAGAGCTCCTCCCTACCTCCAACCCTGTGCTCCTGCTGGCCCCCCTGCTCAGCACTGTCTCCTTCCTCCCCTTTACACAGGGAAATCCTCTCAACACTCAGGCAGGCATGAAACACCCTCCCTATTCTGGATTCCCAGAGCTCCAACTATCTGACCCAAGAAACAGCCTGCCTGGAACAGGGCTCTAGAGTGTGAGCAGGTGGCACGGGGGTGTCGAGTACCTTGGCCATCCCCAGCAGCAGCTCCAGATCCACCAGGAGCTTGTGGACATCCCGGTGGAACACGGCCAGCTCAGCCCGGCTCACCTGGAACATCTTCTCTGGGTCAGGGGCTGCGATCATGGTTCCCTTCCCGGCCCCCAGGAGCCCATTGCAGGCTACTTCCACATAGAGGGTCAGGCTACAAATGCGGGGAGGCAGCCTCAGGCCAAGGGACTGGCAGAGGACTCTGGGGCTTGGGGAGGGAGGACCAAAGAGGCATCCAGCAGACCCCTCCCTATTCACCCCCAGGATCTACCACCCAGAGGATCTCACAGTTATGTCAGGTGCGTGTAAGAGAGGGTCATGGTAGAAACAACAGACTACACCAAATTCTGCTGATGAGTGTTCTGCCTTGGTTGGGGTGAATAAGTAGCCAAGTTTGGAACCATGTGAATTATACTGTTGTTTAGACTTTTATTTCCAAAGCTGTCTTTACAATGCACTGCCTTGGTCTCAGAACCCTCTTTGCACATTAAAAACATGTTTGGATCTCCCAGGTCCAGTCTTTCAGAACAAAGATCCATCAGCCAATATGGGCAGGCCACTGTTTGGAGAGCATGGTGGGCTGTGGTGCTGTTCTACTCAGTCTTCAGAGAGCAAACATGACTTCCTTCGGGAAGCCTTCCATGACTCTCCTCTTATCCCTCTCCCTAGTCTAGAACAAATTTCTTATGTTGAAAGTTTTTTCTTTCAAAGCCCTCATCAGTTTTGCAATTATTAAGTATATGTGAGTCGCCCTTGCTGTCAAGAATCACATCATTCACCATCAGTCCCAGTGCCTGGAAACATCAGATACACAATGTTCAATAAATATAATACCTAAGAAGAGTTTTTGATAGTGTCATAAAATGCATGTTATAACATGGATTTTTTAAAAATCAGGATTCAAAATATCAAAGAAATACAACCTCAACTAGTAAAAACTACATTTGAAAGAATTCCCGAGAAGAATGCTGAGATGTTAATAATGGACATCACTAAGTGATGGGATAATGGGAGTTATTTACTTCTTTGTGCTTTTCTGTATTTAACCCAAGAACGAAAACACTATCTTTATAGCCAGAGAAATCCTGCTTTTCAAAAATAAACTATGAGAGTTGAAGATGGTTGTATTGAAAGTGGGTGTGTTTCTCAGATGGCTCTGGGCCTCAGCTCCTCCTTGCCCACTGATGCTCCCTCCCCTACAGCACTGGTCAACCACAGCACAGGGACTCACTCACCTCCGGGGGTCTTCTTCCCCCAGCTTTTCAGTCAGGACATAGCTGGTCTTCTCCCCCTCTTTGGTCAAACCCTGGTGGGGAGTGCAGTGAAAGAGACAGGACCTGAGGCTTGTGAACAGCTCAGATGAAGTATAAGCTGAGGGAGGCCAGGCCCCTCTACCGGGTCCCTAGCACTGGCTCCTCTCTCCCAGACAAGGCCAAGATTGACAAATCAGGGACCTCTGGTAGCAGGTGCCCCAACCCCCATGGCAGTCAGTGCCATGACCACCAAATGGCACCTATCTGCCAGCAGAAAAGCCACTGGTCTTGTGGAGTCTTGGGGAGGTATCAGGTCCTTGGTGGCTTCTGGTGGCCTCTGTACCCCTGAATAAGCATCTGAAGGGAAACTCTCTGAAGTCAGGGACAGGTTTACCTCATTCCCCACTATATCCCCAGTGCTTAGCACAGGGACCTGCCAGAGAGGGCACTCAGGAGACATCCTGCTGAGCCAGTGAAGGGAGGGAGGGAGGGGTCTGCCATCTTTCTGTACAGGAAGAACAACAGTCCTGACCTGAGACTGAGGGTTAGTCAAACTGAAATGGAAGCTGTGTGAACCTGAACAAGTGTGTTAACATCTATATATCTGTTTCTTAGTCTGTAAATGGCCATAAAGACCTACCACATAGGATTTTAAAGGTTAAACCTGTTAAGGTTGGATGCATAAACAAGGTACTTAATAGTGGTTATATCTGGGGAACTGTGGGTGAGGTAGCAGGGAGATATCCATTATTTCAGGTGAAGAGGACTTTTTAAACTTTATATTATCCAGAACTGTTTCGAAGTCTCCCTCCCCGACTGCCATAAGCATATATTCCATATAATAAAAACCAGTTTATTTAAAACTAAAAATAGAAAGTGATATAGTCTGCAAAGTCACTAGTCTGGCACCTAGTAAAGGGTTAATAAATGGATCTGCTGTACCTATTATTGTACTTGATTAATAACTATTTTCATCCCAGAATGGGAGGGTGACCAGTCAGTGGCAGGGTTGGTTTAGTATTAATTATGTTGAGACCCTCAGCGATCCTCTCAAACATGAGAAGGAACAATTACACCGGGGCCCAAGCAACAACCTGTCCAGTCCTGAAATCCTGATACCACCCTGCAGGCATAGCCACTCAGCTGTGGCTTCTCCAGAGACCAGGGCTGAAATGTGGCCATACCTGACCTAGGGCAGGGCTCCTCACCTGGACAGGTTCCCCATCACGCCACACCAGGCCTTCTCCATCACTTTCCCAGCGAAGGTGAACTTCCTGACCCACCCATGCCTCTGGGATGGTCAGCTCCACCCGGAACCAACAGGTCCACCATCTGCAACAGAACCACTAAGATGGGCCTAGGGGTCAAAGCCCTTTCCTTTTGACATACTTCCTTGGACTAAGGGTCAGCAGGGGCTTGAGACTTTCACCAAGTATCTGCAGCATCACAAGGTATTCAGCTTTGATCCACAAGCAAGGAGCAACGGGGTGTACAGCAAGGTGAGGGAAAGAGGCAGAGAATCAGGGGTCTGTGATTTGTCCTAGAGTGTCCTGCCTAAGGGATGTCCAGGGACTGGGAGAAGGGGGGGAAATGAAAATTCTCCCATTAAGTCTTGAGGGATCAGGGATCTGCTCCCAGCAGAGGGTGCTGCTCTGCCCCAAGTGACGGTCTAGGGCACAGGGCCGACAATGGAGGTGTGGCCCTTAGGGGAGGCGAGTAAGCCGGGAGCGGGGCCCTGTCGGCCCCGCCCTCCCTCTGGAGCGTTACCCACGTGGGTCCGAAGCTGTCGCCGACCTGCGCGGGGCGGAAATCCTGCTGGACTGCCTCCTGGTAGGGAAGCCTTTCGGGCGTCAAGAAGCTGGAGAGCTCGGCCACTGGGCAGCTGTCTCCGAAGAGCCTGGGCGGGAGGGGCAGGTGGGCACGCGCCACTGGGCCAGCCGGCGGGTGGGGACTCGCATTCCCTCGATCCACCGCCGGGAGGGCTGCCTCACAGCTCAGTCTCCCCCCATCCCTCCTCCTGGGCCCCAGCCCTTTCCGCGGCGGGCACTTTGTCCCTCGGCCCAGGTGGCCGAAGCTTGGGTTTCCCCCCGGACGGGAAGGCTAGAGACGCGTGGATGCGGCCGGCCGGCGCCAGGGACGAGGTGGCCACACCTGCCGCGGAGATTACAGTCGGTAAAGTAGAGCGGCGACACGAATTTCTCCACCCGCTCCAGCGTAGTGCGCCAGTGCTTCAGGGCCGGCGCCGCCGCCATCGCCGCGCGCTCTCTCCTCTCCCCGGAAGGCCCCAAACCCTGCCGGCGCGGTCCACGGCCTGGAACCAAAGGTTCCGGCGTCCGAAGGGCGCCTTCCAGGCCCGGACAGCTTTTCTTGGAACACCAGCGGCTCTGTGAAGTCTCGCTGCTCTGAACTTTGAGCAGGGAGCTGAAAGCTAAAAGCCGCACTTCCGATGCTCTCCTCTTATCTCGTCCGAGCTGGTGGCCGTTTAGGGCAAATCCCTAAATAAAATAGGAAGCTTGACGCTTTGATTCTGCAAAAGGCCTGGGACAGACACAAGCCGTTAGGCACGACGGGTGGGAGCCTGGGTTGCTGCCGACGCAGGTCACCTAGTCTCAGAAGCTGCAAGCGGGAACCTCCTTGCCCTCTGGTCCCAGCCCGCCCTCTGGCTATCTCGAACACCCGTGTCCGCTTAACGTTGCAAGAGCCGGGGCGCCAGGACCGGTGCTTTAAAGCCAATCGGCAGACATGCGTTAAATAGAGCTTTGCACCCCAGTAACCTCAGCTTCCTCTACTACATGTTTTATTTTATGTATATGGCTAAGTGCTGCCCATCGCCAGAAACTCCTAAGATTTTGATTTGAGATTGCAGATCACAGACATAGAATTCATGATCCTAACAGAATAATGTATTTCCCTACACGGGACTGAAGAGTTCAGAGAAGCCATAATGCCAGAAACACCTCCAATTTCATCCTCACGTTTCTCTGGTAATCTGTTGGCAGCTTGTTCCCCCCTCCTGGGAATGCTATGAAGTCCTTGTCTATAAAATCATTAGGAAGAAAAGTATATACACAACATGAGCCCTGATATTTTAATAGAAATACTGACCAAGTTTACAACATTTCAAATGCAAATCATAGGGAAAGGTGATTAAGTACAGAATACCGAACGAGATTTAAAATATAACTTCCTGCTATAAGACAGGCTGAGTTGAGCTTGGAGCTCAGATGGCAGGAGGGATATAAATGCTGTTTGTGAAACCCTGGCTGTCAGTGAAGCTCCCCCTTCTTTTGGTTGCACTGGTAGGATGGGGTTTTCTCCTCTATTGGCCCTGAAACCCTATCCTGACCTGCAAGCAGCTGCTCTGGGCGTAACCCTATGCAGAGACAGCAACAGCTGGGGCTGCCCCTGGTCAGGTCCCATCAGTTCCCCCCCACCCCACCCCGGCCGTAATTCCAATTCAACATGGTTTTAAGCAAGCAGAGGTGAGTTATTGCTGGGAAAACCCGAAGATCTTCCCCCCCAGTCAGTATCACTCCATCTCCCAAGTCAGGCATTGCCCCAGCTTCACCAGAGAATCTCCTCCCACAAGGCTCTTGCCACCCTACACTTTTGGGCTCTGAGTCTCCTGTAGTTGTCCCATCCCTCCACTGCTCCCCACCACACCCAACAAAAAACTCTAAAATCGGAAAAGTCTACCATGTGTTATGAAAGTCCAGAGCCAAAAAATTTGTGGTTTTGTGGTGGTGATGTTGGGAATTTTTAATTAAAAAGCAAACAAAACCACACAAATCACTGCTGGTTACTTTACAGCTATGACTAGGGTAATGGTTGCTGGAGAAAAATTCACCAGAGTACTGGGAGGGGCTCAGTTGGTCTTTGTTCAGAAAGTCCAGGCTGACCACATATAAAAATCCTAATCAGTCAAGTTTAAATATCTGCCAGTTTAAATTTATGTAATTTAAAAAAATATATATGTATATATTCCATTTGCAGTTGCTAACGAAATGTATTGAATCTCCCTCCCAGCCCCATTTATACCACACACTCTGTACACACTTCTTTCAAACACTGGTTTGGTATTTAAGCTGTTCACTCCCATTTCCAATAAGGATAAGAAAAAATACAGAAAAGTACAAACTACATAGCTGCACAACTTACCCAAATATAAAATATTTCCAAACAGCTGAAATAAGGGGGGAAAACACGTACTAAAAGAATGAATAATTCTATTTAAAAAATTTAGGATATTTTGATTTGGAACACATACAACTGACTGCTAACTATTTAAAGCAAAATCCTGTTTGTACCGTAGATAAGGAACTGAAGCCAAAATCCCTGCTTCACAGTAGTTCTCTGGTGAGGACAAGGGACTTGGGTTGAGAGTTTATTCCTTAAGTAAGAACCAAGCTTTATTTATTTACAAAAAAAAAAAAAAAAAAAAGTTGGGGCAAGGGGAAGACAAGTTTTACACAAAAGTACTACAACGGTAACTCCCTTTGGTAAAAAGTGTAATAAATGTCTTGTACATCTGTTCATAGGTACTAAATCTGAAGCCACAGAGAACTATGGTACACAAGAAGCTAGAGCAGTTATGCTAGCACATCAAAGCATATTTCTTTTAATAAAAAATTGACAGTATGTACATTATTTACAAAAAAAAAGAAAAACCAAGTTAAAACTGTGTGTGTGTGTGTGTGTGTGTGTGTGTGTGTGTGTGTGTGTGAGTAAAGCTGGTGGATGGCACTAGGGTAGACTAGTAAAGAAGCAGGTACAAAACAGTTCCACGGGAGCTAAAAAGGACGACTGATTTGAACTTGTTGAGGTTGAGAACCAGAGGAGAGAATAACGGGTGGGCAGCAAGGGATTCGTCAGGAATCAAATCCACAAGATGATCAATCCCAAAGCCAAACTGCAGGTCCCAGAGAAAATCTTAATGGGTGATCTAGATGTGCTCAAGTGACCAGGAAAAAAAAATCCAATACAGTTTTTTTTCCTTTTGGGGGGGAAGAGGAAAGGAGCAGTGACCATCAGAGTTACAATCCATCTAAGCATTGAGTCCTTCCCCAGTCTGTCAGTCAATGCTCGCCCATCCAATCAAGGTGTGAACAGCATCCGGTTCCCTCACTGAAGGTCAGGCCCCAGGAGGCTGCAGTCTTAGCTCTGCTGGTGTGTGCAAGCAAGCTGCATATCCCTGTGCTTGCATGGATTTCTTCCCCTCCAGGGCAGGGTAATGCCCAAAACCCCTGGGAAAAGTTCCAGCTCCAGCTTTGTAAGGTATCCACGTTCCTTATATGTAGCCCACTTGGTGCCAGGTTGCACCAGCCACACACAGATCAGGTGGCCATGTCCCAGAGAGGCCCAGTGAGGCTTGAAAGGCATCTTCCTTGTTTCTTCAGTGTGTGCGAGTACACGTGCCCCCCCCAACACACACACACCCCTCAAGTTATCTGCTCTGGCTCTGCAGTTATGGGGCTTTGAACACTGTGCCATATTTGACACGGTACTTGTTAATGCTCACAAAGTGCAGGGTCTCTGTGTCACAGGTGGTGGTGCAGGGCACCAGGCCCTCCAGCCCCTCACCCATGAGCCACTTGCTGGTCTCCGCTGCCATTTCACGGGGCACATGCTCCTTGGTCCATTTATCTACCCAGGCCTGGAACCTCTGATGTAGCCGCTTGCTTACCCGCTCATGGGACTGCAAAATAGAATGAAGAAGAAAAAAACCCATGAACTAGGACCAAAAACCTTCAAATACAAAGCCCAATTTTCTCCTAAAGTGCCAGAAGAAAGATGTGGGCTTATCAGTGCTGATACCACTGATAAGTTAAAAAAAAAAAAAAATTAGGAGTCTGTTTAAAGAAAAGAATTGAAGATTAAGAACCTAGAACACATTAAGGAGTTGGAATTCAAAAAGCTCCCAAAGAAATACCAACACAGGGTCTGGGCAGAACTAGCTCAGTGCTTCTCGATTTTAGCCTCCTGCATCATTATCACATAGGGGGGCGGGGGTGGGGAGAGAACAACTTGATCAATCCGCAGTTTTAAACCAGCAACCCAGCTGATTCTAACATACCCGGAGTGAGACACTGAGTTGAGGCCGTTAGTCATTTCTGTCAGCGTGGCAATCCACTTCTAAGTAAAACAAGGTAAAGGGCTTAAAAGCCCACTCTCCCTTCCCGCTATTACCCCACCCTGCCCAGCACAGTGCTGGGCATAGCAGATCTTCAGTGGAGGTTTTTGTTCCTACCTATACATCTGGTAAATATTTATTAGTGCCCACAAGCAAGGCAGAGAAGGGGATACAAAGATAAATTAGGTGTTGCCCAGCTCCCCAAATCATTTGAATCAGAAACATGCAGGCATACAACACACAGCACCAGGAGAGAAGTACATTAAAAATCGCCCAACCTATGGTTCCCACTTGAATGTTCTGTAGTCTTTTCATCTGCCTCCCAAACCTGGTAACCCCTTCCTATTAACAGATGTACCCCTAAACTTCCCATTTACTCAAGCAAAATGAGCAAAGAAACAAAACCAAAAAACAAAAACCACCAGGCATCATCCTTAATGTTCCCCTTTCTCTTAACCTCCCTACATCCAAACATTACCACATCCTGACAGTTATATGTCCAATCTTTTTTTTTTTTTGGCTGTGCTACGCAGCATATGGGATCCTAGTTCCCCGACCAGGGATTGAACCCACGCCTCTTGCATTGGAAGCGTGGAATCTTAACCCCTGGACCACCAGGGAAGTCCCTCCAATCTAATTATAATTCCTCTACAACCCTGGTAGTCTGGGTAGACATCACATCTCATATGAATGAAAGCAGTCTTTCGAGTGGTCTCTGCCCTTCCAACTTGGTGCCCTCACTCGCTCTCATCAGTCTGTGTCTTTGTCAACGATGTCTCAATGTACCTCAAACAAAATCCAAATCGCAGCCTAAGAGAATAAGTAATGTAGCCTCTGCCCACCCTTCCAACTTCATGCACCCCACTTTCCCTATGGCGCAAGCCACATTGATGTTTTCATTTTCTTGAAAATGCCAAGTCCTTTCCTCCTTCCCAGCCTTGTGCTTGCTTGTTTCCTTTGCCTAAAAAGTACCAACCCCCAACTCTGCACCAGGTTGGATCCTTGTCATTGTTTAGGCCTCAAGCGTCACCTCTTTAGAGAGGTCTTCCCCAACAAAAGCAGGGCCCTGCCTGCCAGTTACCCTTGATCACTTCACCTAGTTTCTCTCCTTGGTAGTGCACATCATCACACTACCTTATATGCTC